GATCTAACACCAAATTCTCATAACTTATTTACAAGAAAATGTGTAGCAGTTAGAGGGGAGAACTAACAATCAGAGGTTGGGAGTTACTGGGTTAAAAAATGTTGTGGAAAGAGAAAAGCAAACGGAACAGGTTGGAGAATTTCCTCTGCATCTAAACAAGCTCATTGGTCAATATTGTGGGCACATTACCCAGGCAAATATTAACTCTTTCACTCCCAAAATTGAATGACAGTTACTTCTCCCTGTAAAATTCAAGCCTATACATTACTCAGCATATAGGTAATGAGAGTAATCAAACTCAAAGTTTTTGTCTCGATCTAATGCTGAATTCTTGTAACTACTTAACAAGGAAATATGAAGCAGTTATAGGAAAGAATTCTCTATCAGATCTTGGGAGTAAAAATGTTAATATATTATTATAGTAACAAAGTTGTCATTTTTATCAGAAAAATAAAAGATATGATTATCATATGTAGACAGACTTAACTACAAGTAGCCTGCAGTTAAATTTTCACCTCTCCTTAAGTGTAAAAAAAAAAACAAAAACAAAAAATTAAAATTGTGTAAATTAAGTTACATATATCAAATGAATTTGGCAGGCCCAAGGCCTTCTGAAAAAAAAAAAAAAAAAAATCAAAATTGCCACAAAGGGAATGTTTACATATAGTGTTTCAAAGGCAAGACAATGGAGATTTGATTACAACAAAAGAATCACCTGCTAGAGTAGTAAAATATGATGAAACTTGGGTTGTAAGAACTTATTGTTCAAAATGAAACACTTACGTTAAATTTACTCGAATCTAAATTCAAACACACTAAATTTTTATCCCCCCTTATATATCTAAACACGATTACTTCCACAGAGACTCGTGCTGTTGCTACCGGATTTTTTCAACAAATATATGTTAATTCATTCCAAGGTAGCTGTTAATAATCCTCCCAAGCTTATCATGGTACACAGTCTGTTTTCCTTCCTTTCGCCATGAAAAATATTTACATAGTATACGAAAACTATGATCATCTTCTCCTGGGGAACTTTACAGGTATTTTTAACCGTACATACAGTAAATGGTTTAGTAATAAAGACAAAACCAAACTCTTGACAAAAAATTAAATATGTTTTCTGGAAAAATTAAGCCCAAATAATTATAATTGCAACCTCTGAGAGCTTAATTATTTATTCCGCATACGAGAATCGTTCGAAACAGAACCGTTTCATGCAAAAACCGAAAAATCCTAAAGTTCGATCAGTTCATGCCAAATTCCGCTGACGAAGCTAGCCATAAAGTACCTTATATAAGCGTCGTTACTTTTTATGTGATCGGAGTAAATTACGGAGCAAAATGTGTGCTACATGATTAAAGTGGAAGCAAATAAAATAGATAATATACGGTTTTCATATGCTACCTGGAATACTCCTCGGCGGCTTCCACCAGCTGGCCCCAAGAATCAAAATCCTTTCCTTTCTCAAAAGAGACATACCACTGGTTTATTTGTCTCGACTTTTCAGTCATACTTTCGTCTAGGTATTTTGCAGATCCATCACACAGGTGCTTAAAATTTTCCGATATTGGCTATCGAGATTTGTCAGCAAAAGTACATGGTTTGTTACATGACGTAACTTTTGAACACTCTTGTATCGCGGGCGCTAAGTGCGGAAAACTTTGCCAATCACTCCCATGGCGGGCGAAATTTATTTCAATCTGGAAGAGGGTTCCTTGATACTTTGGACAATTGTTTTGTAAGTATCTTTAACAAACCAAACTTCGACCGGTCAAAGAATTCCATCTTGTCTCCGTTTGTTTCCATCAAAGTATATTTTAAAAGTTTTCAGCCTTAAATTCCGAGCTGAACATGGCTGGGTAACGATTTTCTGCACCCTCGATTTCAGGTCTCGCATTTGGTTTTTATTTACAATCATAGTATGTTCCCTTGTGATTTGTACCGCATTGGGAACACTGCAGATGGTATTTCTGTTGTTTGAGAAGAACATCCC